TCATGAAGGACTGATGAAATAACTTTATATTTGGGGTCACCACAACCTGAGGAACTGTATTAAAGGGTCACAGCATTAGTAAGGCTGAAAACCACTGGTAAAATTTATAACTGAAGTCTGATTAGGTAAACCTGGAATAATTACAGAGTCAGTAAACCCTCATACTAAAAGCACAAGGTGGGTATGGGAAGAAATGTCTGTCAGAACTTGAAGGGCTAAGGCAGGAGGATCAGTTACTCAAGTTCATCCTTGGCTAACAGCAAGTTTTATCCTAACTTGGATTACAAAACACAAAAACAAATATAAACAAATCATACAACAAAATCCCAGAAGACCTAAGTAAGCATTCAGTGTTTGAAGTTTAGGTCAGCAGAGCGCTTACCATTTCAAGATTGTATAATTCTATCATAAATCAAGAAACTAGCATTATTATATCCAGAATTTCACTCGCAGTCAAAGACAGTGTTCCTTATTAACAACATATTAAGGAATGCTGCAAAAATAATGTTATTGCTTACTCCTGCTAATTCTTCTGAGAATGCAAAATGTCCACACACCAAACAACTAAGTTCCTTGAAAGTGTTGGGGAAAAAACTTATGTATTGGTGCTGTCTACTTTGGTTGATACAGGGAAATGTAACATTATCACAGTACCATCACATGGAACGTGTCAGGGTGATGTATTTGGACCTAAAGAATAGGGTGGAGTAATACACACAGTCATGTAAAATGAGTACTACTATATAGAAGAGGTCAGTGTAACACATTACTATCAGATGGAATGGGTCAGTGTGGTGGTTTAAATAACGATGGTCCCCACAGGATCATATGTATGAATGTTTGGTCACTAAAGAGTACATAGAATTCTATGAAATGATTAGAAGGATTAGGAGGTGTGACCTGACTAGAGGAAGTGAATCACTGGGACTGGGCTTTGAGGTTTCAAAAGTCCACAGTAGACTCAGTGTCTCTCTGTCACTCTGTCTCTGTTTCTGTCTCTGCTTTCAAAGCAAGATGAAGCTCTCACCTACTTCTCTACCACCATGACTGCATGCTGCCATGAAAATAAACTAAGCCTCTGAAACTGTGGATGAGCCCGGAATTCAATAATTTTTCTCATAAGTGTTACGTTAGTTATGGTGTCCTTTCTCAGCAACAGAACAGTGACTGAGAGAGCCGGGATAACGAAGAATCAGCCTATGAAGTGAGTCAGGGCAATGCAGTATCAGCAGATGGAATGACCAGAGGTCATGATGACATGTGTGAAATGCAGTATTATATACCGAGGAATGGTGTTAGATATGTAGTATGGTCACTTGGGATGGGAAAGCTATCTGCAGCATTTTGTTTTAGTGGACATTGCTTACTAAAAACAGTTTGAGATACAGAATCTTAACATATATGTCCTTAAAAATCATATATATATATATGTGGGCTGGTGAGATGGTTCAATAGATAAAGGGGCTTGCTCCCACACCTGGGAACCTGAGTAATTCCTGGCACTCATATGGGAAAAGGAGAGAGGCAACTTGCCCAAGTTGTCCTTTGACCTCCACAGACAAGTCAAGTCATATGCAACACATTCACACATAAATACTTTGACGTACAAAATGTAATAAATGTACACACACACACATTATTCCTTGCTTGTAACATTTAAAGCGAAAGTATAATGCCTCTTTCTCCTTGATGAGAAATCTCTAGTATTTCCTCTGCAGCACACCACCTTGTTCCTAGTAACTACTGTTGCTGAGACTGAAAGAAGGGAGGAGAACAGGGTAAAGGACGGATCACACATATAATCGCTATCAGACCTCTACTGCTTTGTAACGTTGGAGACTCAAAACTTCTCTCCTTTGCACACCCCCACATCTTGCACTTACCTCGATTAATGTTGCTTCTTGACATCATGAAATAAAATTTCTCTCCACTAAGCCTGTATTTCAGGACAGCTTCCAAGTGTTTCTCAAAGGGGCAAAGATGGGGCCTGAACGGTGCTAAAATGACAAGTGACGGAAGGAGCCAAAAGAGTCTGTAGCAGTTGGTACTAGCACAGACAATAAAACAGATCCAGGAGGACCAGGAGAGTACAAAGCAGGGTGGATGGATTTTAGGAGAAACAGGGGTATTACTACTGTAGCCTCAGGCTACAGAAGCTTTGGACCCTACAGCTTCTTTCCTTTGAAACATGAACATCGGCTTTGACATCCCTAAGATTTTAAACTACCTCACAGAAAGGTGAAGGTACCTGGGCTTTGTTCTAAATTCCATCTTTAGCCCTGGGTAGCACATCTACCCAGGAGAAGGAAGAGGTTATTATCCTATTAATGAGATAATCTACTTTCCCTTCCCAGAAGCCTCCTCTTGGTACAGCTTCTGCCTGCCCATTTTTTCTGAGACAGGCCTCAAAAAGCAAGACATTTTGTTTTACTTTCCTTTATCCCCTTTTTTGGATACTGGCCAAAGGCTAAGCAGGCTTTCCCTGGGCTTTTCACTGTCTCTTTGAAGCCTCCTCTCGCCTTTATCCATGTGGCTACTTGCAAAACACAGGGCTTTCTCCTTCTCCGCACTTCCCTTCTCCGGGCCTTGTAAAGGCCTGTCTGGCAGGAATCAATGAGTCCTAACAAGACACTTGTGCTCCCCTTGTAGGTCATCAAACAATTGCAAGAATGGACCCCAAGAGATTAGAATTTCCCCAGGAATCTCCTTCTGGGATTATGAAAGCCTATAAAGCCCTCGGGGTAGCTAGAGGAGGAACAAGAATGCCAAAAGAGAGATTGACAGGTGACCTTGCAGAAGAGACCGGAGCAAATGGGAACTACACATGGCTAGACTGCTTGATTATGCAAATTTCTTGCCTTCTATCAAAAACTTACCTTCAAGCATTGGGAGGAAGTGCTGTATCTCTTCCTCCTAATGTGAACATATCAAATAAATCTCCTAATTCTGATTTTTATTATTCCTTTGGCTCTGCTGATTGATTTAACTTAGAATGAGTGACTGGACCTGGTTTGTTACATCACAGGCCTGGACCCCTAAGTTAAGTTACAGCAGCGGCAGAGATTGACATCTTGTCTGTTATATTGTTTTTCCCTTAAAGTCTAGTAAAAAATAGTACTTGAAATGCCTTTTGATTCCCTGTCTAACTTCTTTTGTTAAGGAGGCTATGAAGCCAAAAGGAGACCTTGCTATCCTTGGTAACACCGAAGGGTGGAAGGGACCTGGCCTGCAGGTGCATAGGAGCCAGATGTACAGGAGAACAGGCACATCCAGGGCCTCAGTCATTTTTTTAACAAGGTTTTCCAATTTGAAATCTGTTAGGAAAATTAGTAATAATTCTCTCTCTTGCCAAGAGAGGCATCTACCCTGACTGGACAGATAACTCATCCTAACATAAGAAAACAAGCAGAGATAGATTGTTACAGGATTCCAAAGTATAAATTACTAAGGGTCATAATATAGCAACATGATGTCATCTTGCAGGTATGGTACCGACTGACTGCTATTCTGATAAAAATATTGCTAGTTCTTTTGGTTTGACTGATTTATGAATTTAGTGTGGGTGAGCAAGTGTGATCGTGTGGTGGTTTGAAAGAAAAGAGCTCCCAGAAGGGAGTGGCACTCCGAGGACTTACGGCTTTGTGGGAGGAAGTGTGGTCTTGCTGGAAGAAGTGTGTCACTATGGGGTGGACTTTGAAGTCTCATATATGCTCGAAATACTGTCCTGTGTCTAAGACCACTATCTGTTGCCTACAAACCAAGATGTAGGACTCTCAGCTAGGCATATGACTGCCAGCACACCCCCATGTCCTATCTTGATGATAATGGACTGAACCTCTGAACTGCAAAGAGCCACCAGAGTTAACTGCTTCCCTTTATAAGAGTTTCCATGGTAATGCTGTCTCTTCACAGCAATAGAAACCCTAACTAAGACACAGTATGTGCAGGTGAAAGGCAGAGAACAAATTTCAGGAATTTCTTCTTCCACCTTGTCAGTTTTGGGAATCAAACTCATTTCTTCAGCCTTACTGGCAAGGACCCTTACTACTGAATCATTTCGCTGGCCCACCTCTTATTTCCTAGGAAAAAAGTATCTCCACTTTCATTTTATTTTTTTCAGTGTTTATGTTGTATGTTCATGCGTATGTACACGTGTCTACGTGTGTTCTCAGTTGTGGGATCACACGTGCATGTGGGGATGGGGGCTGACTCTGACACTGAGTATCCCCCTCAATCACGCATTTTACTTTTATTTTATGTGCATTGGCGTTTTACCTTCAGGTGTAGAATTCCACTGGACTGTAGTTTTGGATGACTTTGAGTGCCCATGTGGGTGCTGGGAGTTAAACCCGGGTCCTCTGGAAGAGCAGTCAGTGCTCTTAGGCACTCCGGGGTCTCCTCTTCAGGTCCTAATCTCTAGTCACTGAGGCAAAGTTTCGCATTGAGCAATGGGCTGGCTACTATGGCGATAGTAACAAGCCAGCTTATTGCAGGGATTCACTATCTCTGCCTCTTAACCACTGAGATAACAGGAAGCGTCCTATGCCCACCTGTCATTTACTTAGGTTCTGGGAATATGAACTCTGATTTTAGGATTGAACAGCAAGCACTTTCATTAGCCATTTCTGAACCCCCCATAATTTGTCAGAATTCATTTTGTTCCTGGCTTTTTTTTTCCTTTGGTTTTTCGAGACAGGGTTTCTCTGTGGTTTTTGAGCCTGTCTTGGAACTAGCTCTTGTAGACCAGGCTGGTCTCGAACTCACAAAGATCCGCCTGCCTCTGCCGCCCAAGTGCTGGGATTAAAGGCGTGCGCCACCACCGCCCGGCTCAGAATTCATTTTGAAATGACAAAGTTAAGTCATAAACATATACAAACACATATACAAAGAGAGCAAGCCTAACAATGCTCCCAGCGAGTGAGCCATCGGAATGGGGTGCAGGATCCTTGCACTGGGAGGGAATGGGGGTCCAGGAGTGGTCTGAGGCATTTCACACTTACATCGCTGAGCCTCTCACGAGAGCTGCTCCGGTGGAAACCCTTGGATTCTCCGCTAGCGCTTTCGCTGTCACTGTCCCTGCAGCTGTTCTGTCCTGGCTTGAGCTGAAAGGAACAGAGAAAAGCAAGACAGGAGAAAGTCAGAGACATCTGCACACACACACACATATCATGTGACTCATGAGCTTTGCACTAGGAGCCTTGCCAATTTAAAGTCCTGAGCCTTAACGTTCTACTTAGCTTAAGCTTATAAAACATCTGGGGTGTGTGTGTGTGTGTGTGTGTGTGTGTGTGTGTGTGTGTATGTGTGTGTGTGGATTCACACTAGTGCAGGAGTATGGAGGCCAGAAGAGAGCACTGGATGCCTAAGAAGCTGTCCACCGTGAGTGCTGGGAACCAAGCTCAGATATCCTCCTAGAGCAGTGCATGCTCTTTACTACTCCTCTATTTGCCCTTTTTAATCTCTCTCTCTCTCTCTCTCTCTCTCTCTCTCTCTCTCACACACACACACACACACACACACACACACACCGCCTTTTCTTTTTGGAGACAGAGACTCATGTGACTGAACGACCTAAAAGTCGTTATGTATCTAAGGGTGACTGTCAAATTCTGATCTTCCTGTATCCGTCTTCTGGTGACTTGGATTAGAAGTATCAGGTATTATCATACTCGGGTTACGCAGTCCTAGGGACTGAACACAGAACACAGGAGCCTTGCACTTACAAGGCAAGCACTCTATCAACCACGTGGATCTCAGGAATGAAACCCAAGTCAACAAGCTTGGTGGAAACTGCCTTTACCAGCTGGACCAGCTTGGCCGGAATCAGTACTATGGCAATAGCCACACTGACCATCAAACCTGCATGTGGAGCATATACTCTGATTCATAAGTGGCATCAGAACTCTCATTCTTGACTGGCAATATAGCTCACTCATAGAATAATTGTACAAAAGCCCGGGTTTGACCTTCTGCACTATGAAAACTCTGCATGGTAACACGCGTACCTGTAATCCTAGTGCTGGGGAAGTGGAGGCAGGGTTATCATTAGTTAAAGGTCATCCTTGCTACACAATGAGTTCAAGGTCAGTCTGGCTTACCTGAGTCCCATCTCAAAAGCAAGACAAGACATGATGTATTATTTAACTGATTCTCTCACAGTGGTAGGCAGAACCATTTCAAAGCATGGATGAAGAAACAACAAAAAACCCTCAGAGTTGGGCCAAAATCTAGGACCCAAATTCCTGATTCTATTGCTGTTTGCTGGTTCAATGCTCAGTGCCCAGGCAGAGGATCGCAGAGAACACAGTCACAATTCTGCAATGTATTACCATCCCTCTGGACTTCAGCATGTCTGGGGTGGTGGCGGGTCTTGTGAAGACTCAATTCCCAGAATCCACACGGTAGAAGAGAACCTTTTCCTGAAAGTTGTTCTATCCCCACCATATGCAGGCATGCCTGCTCACTAGCAAAAAATTATACTTTAAAATAAAAGAGTATCAAGGACTATTCCTTGTACAAACCCAGCTTAACTAAACCTGGACATTGTACCTCGTCCCTCTTCCATGCTTCTTCATGAAAGGAAAATGATTTTATAACAAGGCCCACAACAGACCTCTGAGGCTCCAATGTCAATTATCTGACTAAATGTTGATCTGGGCTGAGGGCAGAACCCAAGGAGGAAGGCAGGGAATCAGCTGGCTTGCATTCCCCAGGCCCTGGCGGCAAACACACTTAAGTGAATTCTGTTTGGAGAGCTGAACATAAAATCCATTCCCCCACCCCCCGTGCCACCCCTTTTTCCTCCAAAGCCCTGCTCAAGTTTAAAGGAAACTTAGGATTTTAAGCTGTCAGCCAGCTCAATATTTCAAAGACACGGACTGACTACCCTAAGCACTAAAGCTAAACCACAAGATTTCAGGGAAGACGTGCTCATTCCTAATCCCACGAATACATTTTCAAACCGGTATTTTCAACCGCAACCAACGGATCATTTGTGGGTAGCATAAGTAGCTGAGAACTTGTAATCCTTCACCTGGAATTCCCAGCTATTACCTACAAGCAGGAGACAACACAAAGGCCAGGTGTGAGCTTAAACATTTAAAGACCTGAGAAAAATCAATCCGGTTGCATTGATTTGTCCCAGCATCCATGGTGGCCAGCATTAGAAGGCTTTTGCTGTAACACAGGCAGTGAGAAACCTGACTAGCAAGCTTTCCAGTCTTATGATTGTGTTTATGTGAAAATTTCTATAGCCCCTTCTCTAATTTCACAGGAGGCAACTGAATTAGAGCAAACTAAACAGAATGAGGGAGTGAGTATCCGGCATGGGTAGTGGTAATTCTATCAACGGAATTATCTTTTATAAAACACAAGAGGCCAAGTTTCCTTTTCATTAGATTTCATTGTGGAAAACACGTTCTCTGTATTCTGGAACTGTGATCTCAGGAGTGTGTCAACTGTTATTAATGACTGAATGGTTAATCTTGATTGTCAACTTGATGGGATTTAGAACTGCCTAGGAGACAAACTTCCGGGCATGTGTGTAAACAACTTTCTAGACTGGGTGAATTGAGGTAGGAAGCCTCACTATGAATATAGGCAACACAAGTCAAGGAATGAATAAAAATGAGAATGTGAGGGGGCTGGTGACAGGGCTCAGCTGGTGAAGGACTTGCCCCGCAGGCATGAGTACCTAACTTTGTATCCCAAGCACCTAAGTAGAAAGCAAGGCATAGGGGCATGCCTTTCTAATTCCGGTGCTAGGGCACAGAGACAGGAGCATCACCAGGGTTTAGTGGCTAACCAGTCTTACCAGATCACCTGAGTCTGGGTTCAGTGGGAAAAGGCGAGGGGGAGGTGAGGAAAGAAGAAAGTTCTGAACACTGTTTCGGTGAGGTGCCTACATGTGACTTGGATACTGATACCTCTCAAACACTAAAAACTACAAAACTGCTTCTATTAGCCCAAAACATACATGATTCAACATGTAAAGCAGTTCAATGGATTTCAGAGTTGAAAAGATAGCAGGTTAATAAAGACAGGAAAGTAAGCCAAGATCAATTTCACTGCAGAATTGTAAACATAAGCAATCAGGCAATCAGAGTGATCTGACCGATGCCCACATCCTACCAGCAGGTAGGGCAGAAGTTCCATCACACATCAGGAGTCACAGAAGCGCAGTACAGGAAGTACACAACTCCCTTAACAAGGATGATGCAGAAACACAACTCTTACCTCCAAGGCAATGAGACATAATACATTCTAGAGCCAAATACAAGTGAACAAAGACTGTGAGTGCAGATTCAAGTTACCTCAAATTCCATGTTCCAATATGATAACAGTTTGATCAAGATTGTATAGGAGCAGAAAAAATGAAGGTAATAACTCAAAGCACTTTTGAAATATATTGGTAAAAAAATCATATATTATGACATATTATGGATTAGAGCAAAACAGAGAAATCTCTATCAGCCTAAGAAGTGATTTGAATGGGTTCTTATCTTAACAAGAAATTAGAGGTATGTATGTACATTCCAAAGAATTCACCTAAGGTTCACAAAGATGTTAGAGACGACAGAGATGCAGAGGAGAGTAGGAAACAGCTCTTAAAGGTGATGTGGATCTGGACTTAGACACTGCAGCCTCTCCACATCACTCAAATTCTAATCATTAATCAGACACTTACAGAAGATTCATTGGTAGGTGAGGTTCTCAGGCACTTCCCTACACAAAAGCTAATTCAAGACAAAGGAGGGAAGAACTGAGCTGAAAAGACAGGGAAAACACCTCAGCCAGATTGAGCGTCCTTGGCACTTAATTTGAATGAAAGAAATATTTCTAAACTCAGAGATTATTAAGACAGGCTGAATTCTGTTGTTAAGGAAATTTTGTTTATAGTGTGGTGTTCAGTAAAAAGGTACCTTTGCAACAATTATGGATAAAAGCCCTGGATGACCGAGTAGAACTTCTCAAACACATTGAGAACAGAATCTTTAGAAGGAGGGCAAACAGATGTGCAGATGAAACCAGACGATCTAGGACTTCATTGTTGAGATTGTTCCATGAGGTTTAACTATCACCTCTACTTTAGTACTAAGATACAGAGTGTATGTGAATGTGTGTGTGTTCTAAAACACAGTTCTCAAAGTCAGTATGTAACCAAGGATGACCCTGAACTCCTGATCCTCCAGTCTAAACATCACAAGGCCTAGGATTAAAGATGTGCATCAAAATGCCTGGCTGTTAAAATCTATATAATAAAGCTTTCTAAATCAAGTATAATCAAATGTATAGAAAACACAATACATCATTGTATATCCTTGCTTTAAAGATTTATTTTACTATTATGTATATGTGTGTCTACATGTATGTCTGTATGTGGGCATGTGAGTACCCACAGAGGTCAGAGAGGGCATCAGCTCCTCCTAAGCTGGCACTACAAGTAGTCGTGAACCACCTAATATGAACGCCGGGCATTGAAATTCAGTCACCTGGAAGGGTAGCAGGCGCTATTAACTCCCAAGGCATCTCTCCAGCCCCACATCACTTTTAATTGAAAAATCAAGAGTATATAGAGCTTGTTATAATATAAAATACTTGGGATGACAGCTATCAAAAATTTTATGATATGAACGTTGACACAAAGTTTCTTTCCAACTTGCCATAGTTTTGGACTGAGCTCATTTCAAATCAGATCAAAAATAAAAATCTCATTACACGGACAGTTCCTTCTCTGTCCACAGTCATTTTTGTAAGTTATAACTGTGTGCAGCTCATATCAGTGAAGGACTCTTTGATGAAAAGCTGTATCACCTCTGTGGAGACAGAGCTCAATTAGTGTTGGAACTCCTATGATCAATCATTTTTAAAATATTGGTATGTGGAGGTGAAGATGTAGGTTCTAGAATATTTTGGATCCTATGTTACAGACTTCTAGCTCCCTAAAATGCACAAATAAAGATGAACCCTTAGTACTTCAGAAGGGGATTGTACTAATTGGAGTGATTAAGTCCAAAGAGGCCACTGGGGTGGCATTCAGAGTAAAAATGTGTCCTCCAAACATCACTCACTGGAAAGTTAATCATCAGATCAATCCTTTTGA